GCACTTTGGGAGGCTGGGGCGGGCGGATCACAAGGTCAGGAGTTCAAGACCATCCTGGCTAACACAGTGAAACCCCGTCTCTACTAAAAATACGAAAAATTAGCCGGGCGTGGTGGCTGCCCGCCTGTGGTCCCAGCTACTCGGGAGGCTGAGGCAGGAAAATTGCTTGAACCAGGGAGGCAGAGGTTGCAGTGAGCTGAGATTGCACCACTGTACTCCAGCCTGGGCTACAGAGCAAGACTCTGTCTCAAAAAAAAAAAAAAAAACAGCAACAACAAAAACAGACCACTGCTGCAGGGCCATGGGATGTGTAGGACCAAGGGATTAAAGATATGTAGGGAGAAGAAGCATTTTGAGTTTCACCTCCAAGAATAAGAAGCGTTGGGCCGGGCATAGTGGCTTATGCTTGTAATCCCAGCACTTTGAGAAGTCAAGATTGCTTAAGCCTCCAGGAGTTTGAGACCAGCCAAGGCAACATAGCAGGACCTTGTCCGTACAAAAAATACAAAAATTAGCTGGGTGTGGTAACTCGCCTGTAGTCCCGGCTACTTGGGTGACTAAGATGAGAGGGATCACTTGAGCCCGGGTTGAGGCTGCGGTGAGCCATGAGCACGCCACTGCACTCCAGCCTGGGCAACAGAGCCAGACCCTGTCTCAATAAAATAAAAAGAAAGGTTGTTCTCTGCCCCCAGCCCCATTTATGTAGGAAAACAGAAGCTCTGCCTCCCTGTCCAAGGAAACTTGGAGCACAGAGGTGGGGTTCCTTTAAGACTTAGGGCCAGGCTCAGTGGCCTCCCACTTTGGGAGGCTGAGGCAGGAGGACTGTTTGAGCCCAGGAGTTCAAGACTAGCCTGGACAACACGGTGAAACTTTGTCTCTACAAAAAATGCAAAAATTAGCTGGGCATGGTGGTGCACGCCTGTAGTCCCAGCTACTCGGGAAGCTGAGGCGGGAGGATTGTTTGAGTCCAAGAGGCTGAGGCTGCAGCGAGCTGTAATCATGCCACTGCTCTCCAGCTTGGGTGACAGCGCAAGACTGTGTCCAAAAAAAAGGGGCAAGTCCCGTTTTTGCCATTAAGCTTCTTGAGAGCCTAATGCAGGATGGCCTCTCCTCTCATCTCCTGCCGCGCTTTATATCAGCAGCATGAGAGCTTGTCTGACTTCGCTGTCTAAGCTACTCGGAGAGCAGAGACCGTATTGATGTTCCCCGGGCTTCACTGACACTGTGTGGAAAGTACAGTACTTGCATGTACTAGGCTTCCTGTTAATCTGACTGATTACAAATAGCCCCTGACCTACAGTGGTTTGACCTGTGATTTGATTTTGTTACTTTACAGTGGTCTGAAAGCTGTAGGCATCAGCACAGGCCTTGACTTCTGATGGTATTGCATCCAGATAAGGCCATCGTAAGTTGAAAATATCCTAAGTCAAAAAATGATATTTTCAACTTAACAATGGGTTTTTCAGGATATAGCGCCATCCAGCATAACTTGAGGAGCAGCTGGAGCTCGTTAGAGCCCAGTCAGTAAAACCAAACGGCAGAAGCTGGGTGCCCTTAAATCTTGTACCTGGTGTGGACCTCACACACTCATCCAGAAAGTGGAAGGGCACCAGTGCCCTAGACCTGGCCTTAAGGTCCTCACACTCCTGATTAGGCTTTGTATAAATCGCCTTATTAGAAACTGGACCCATAATATACATTGAAATGTTAACAGTCCTGCTCTCTGAGCAGTGAGACTAGGGGTGATTCTTTTTATTTTCTTCACTCTGCATTTCTAAATTTTCCAAATTTGAGATGTAGAAAAATCAGGTCTGTCCTTAATACTCAGAGGGAGGGGGGTGGCCTGGTATTTGGTGGTAAAAGTGAGAATTCTGTACTCTTTTGTCTTAGATGGCAGTTGCTTTACATAGATCATACACAAGATGCCTGTCTTTGTGCCTTTCTCCCTCATGAATTACTAGTTGTCATTATTACAGATCATAGAATGTTAGAACTGGAAAGAAGGTCAGCTCCGCTGATGCTTTTCCCCCTTCCTCAGACCATGGGTCTCTTGGAGATGGAAACTCCTCTTCCGTTGGCCCCACAGCTGTCTTAACACTGCTCGCTTTCATTTAGAGTGCCCATCATCGTTCTCCTCTGCGGACAACCTCTGCCGCAAACTGGAGGACCTGCAGCAGTTCCAGAAAAGGGAACCCGAGAATGAGGAGGAGGTGGACATCCTCAGCCTCTCTGAGCCAGTAAAGATAAACATCAAGAAGGAGCAGGAAGAGAAACAAGAGGAGGTCAAGTTCTACCTGCCACCAACCCCAGGGTCTGAATTTATTGGGGATGTCACACAGAAGGTAGGGGTTGTGGTGTTAATAGTTCATGCAGCAGAACAGACTCAGAGCTGGACATTCAGACGTTCAGCCTCACAGACCCAGACCCAGATATTCAGCCTCACAGACCCAGACTCAGACCCGCACTCTTCTGGTGGTGTAAATGCTTGACTTCCTTCTGCCTGGTTGACCCAGGTGCACTCTCTGGGCTCCCATCTTCCTGCATCAGAGCCCTTGGGCAGAAACACTAATTACACGTGAAAAGGTTGCTTGTTGAATGCAGACTTGAAGCAAAGCTGGCTAGATAGAAACGGTTGATTATTCTTCATCTCATTTTTTCTCATCTGCCTCAGTAGAAGCACCTTTCCCTCATGAGGCGTGTCATATTTGAGTTGCACGTCAGTGCAAAATCCTCCCCTGATGTGTTGATAGGTCCTGAGTGCCCGGCCTGTGGTGCAGATGGCATGCACCTACCTTATTATACAGGAGAGAGGTACTTATCCACCCTGCTGGAGCCTAACAGCTCTTCAGCATCTGTCAGTTGCTCAGGGCCTGAGGTGAAAGACAGTGTGCTTTCATTGGCTGCCATGAAAAATGGGCAAGATGCAGTTTCCAAGTGCAAACAGGACACTGGAGTCTTGATTCCAGACCTTCCAGAGTGGTGTTCGCTTATCAGAGCTCATGGCAGATCCCAACCAGGTTCTTCCACGAAGCAGATTTGAGAGTTAAAGTAGGATTATAGTCAAATTTTAGAAATCAGCCAGAAATGTGGAAAAACAAGATAACATTCGTCTAGATGTCATATTCCGTGTTCCTTTCCAGTGAATTTTGCCCAGCATGTTTGCAGAGTCCTTCTTCCAACCAGGCATCTCTTTGGGTGTCAGAGAGTTATGCTTGTTTGGAGAGAGGCCGTTTTTAAAGCAGCGATACGAACAAACGGCTGTCTTCTGCTTTTCCAGATTGGGATCACCCTGCAGCCCGTGGCGCTCCACAGGAACGTGTATGCGTCCGTGGTGGAGGACATGATCCTGAAGGTGGGTGCTTCCGGGGGCCGCCAGCCAGGAATGGTGGTTGCATCCCAGGAGGTTTGGAGTAAGGGGCAAGGACAGAAAAGGAACAAAGATAACATGCTTTAAAATTTCTCATCTTGGCCGGGCGCGGTGGCTCAAGCCTGTAATCCCAGCACTTTGGGAGGCCGAGACGGGTGGATCACGAGGTCAGGAGATCGAGACCATCCTTGCTAATACGGTGAAACCCCGTCTCTACTAAAAAATACAAAAAACTAGCTGGGCGAGGTGGCAGGCGCCTGTAATCCCAGCTACTCGGGAGGCTGAGGCAGGAGAATGGCGTGAACCCAGGAAAATGGCGTGAACCTGGGAGGCGGAGCTTGCAGTGAGCTGAGAACCGGCCACTATACTCCAGCCCGGGCGACAGAGCGAGACTCCGTCTCAAAAAAAAAAAAAAAAAAAAAAATTTCTCATCTTATTTGGGCTTCTCTCTTTTTGTTTTTTTTCTTCTGATTTTTAAATGGACTAAGTTATATTTCCTCTGAGTACTCAAGTCGCTCTGAAGATATTTTTCCACGTGGTTTCAGGTGCCTCCTAAGACATTCTGGGGGGCGGTGGTCAGTGCACTCGTTGCTTCAGGAGGTGGCAGAGACAAAGCCTACGATTTTCCGTACATGTCACAACAGCAAACAGCCCAACTGTCCTGACCCTGGCAAGGGGATGAAAATGCCGCAGCCTCCTTCCCCAGCCTGATCCTAGCTCAGGAGTTCCTTTCCTTGTGGATCCTCCCCAAGAATAGGGATACCTCAGTAACAACTGCTTTCCTTAAATACAATGTCTAGGGCTGGGCGCGGTGGCTCATGCCTGTAATCTCAGCACTTTGGGAGGCCGAGGCGGGCGGATCACTTGAAATCAGGAGTTTGAGACCAACCTGGCCAACATGGTGAAACCCCATCTCTACTAAAAATAAAACATTAGCCGGACTTGGTGGTGCTCGCCTAGTAATCCAAGCTACTTGGGAGGCTGAGGCAGGAGAATCGCTTGAACCCAGGAGGCGGAGGTTGCAGTGAGCCGAGATCGTGCCACTGCACTGCAGCCTGAGGAACAGAGTGAGACTCCATCTCTCAATAAATAAATCAATCAGTAGAATAATGTCTGATTAATGAAAATCACTCCAATTCATAATTTCCCAGAAACATGGCCTTTATCTCACTATCGTCTATTATTGAGACCTTTAATTTTTTCTTAAGGACTTTTCAATCCCTAGGTGCAGTTGTTTCAGACATTTGGGGTAAGGGAGGGGGTTAGATGCGTCCCTTCTTGCCAGCAAGCAGATGGCCATTTGAAGAATAACAGCACCTTCCATTGTAGGCTACAGAACAGCTGGTGAATGATATCCTGAGACAGGCTTTGGCAGTTGGATACCAGACAGCTTCTCACAACAGGTATTACTATCTCTGCAGTCCGTGGTGTGAGGCTTATACCTCTTTCCTAACAGTTGAATTACCCATGAAGGTGTTTTATACTTACATCAATCCAGTAGGAGGTGGAGAGAGTGCTTAGGACACTCTTAGAGACAGATGAACTCAGGGGTCTGCTCTGTCATTTTTAGAGAACCTCGGTTGTGAAAGCTCACTCAGCTTTGCTCAGAGGTTTATATCCTCCTCCTCATTACTTCACAGACACCTAGGACTCTGTTTTATTACAGGGTTGAATAAATATTAGCTTTGCAATTAAAGGTAACAGTGTCCGTTACATGTCAGACATGAGGGCCAAGCACTGCATGTATTACCTTACTTGTTTTTCATTGCAGAACTATTATTCCCTTTTTAAAAATCAGGAAACCGGGCTTTGAAAGGTGATCTTACCCAGCTTTCCCAGAAAATACAGTGGCGACCTGGACTTCCGACTCAGGTCTCACTGGCTCTGAGGCTCCCGGGCTTGCCACTGCTCTTTGCTGACTCTCATTGTGTTCGATTGAGACACTGAGTTTCAGTCTTTTCCTAGGCCCTGAAAGAATGGTAGATAGGCCACATCTGCTTTTCTTTCAGAGGAAACGAATATTATTTTATTGCGTTATGCTAAAGGCTGTCACAAATTTATAAAATTGTAGCAAAGTGCCTGAGGACATGAAGGGCCTAAATCAGAGGAATATTAGATGAAGCTTCACAGGAATATATCAGACAACATAGACGTCTTTAGAGAAAAGGAGGTGAACCAAGAGTTCCGGTCCTGCTGCCCGCTGTCCTGCTTGGACCCACAAGTGAGCCAGGGGCCTCCTGTGGCTCCTGCTCACCTCTGTGCTCCCTGTTCTGGAGGGGTAGAGTGACTTGGGTGCTTTTGATGGAACGATTAACATCACGCCTGGCCTGGCGTGACTCCATCTCCGATCTTTCCAGGAGATGGGAAATGCAGTCCCAGAGTTTTGTGGTGCTTTGACTCAGCTTTTGGTCTGCTGAGACTCACTCACAAATGTGTCATTCCGTTCTGCCATCCACTTTGTTTTCTTTCTCTTTTCTCAGTTCTCAGAATCTTTTTTCCTAATCATTCAACCAACTTGTTGACATCCTTCTCATGCCTATGACTAGGAAGGCAGTCCCCACCCCAGAGTGGCCCTAAGCTATGTCTGTGGCTCAGGAGCCCTCTCCAGGGGGCCTCTGCCTGGGATGGTCCCTGTGGTGAGTTAGTGAATGAATGATGAGATACGTGTGAGAGAATTTCACCTGGTAACACCCTTTGTTTTTTGGACCAGGATTCCCAAAGAAATTACAGTGAGTAATATTCACCAGGCCATTTGCAACATTCCTTTTCTGGATTTCCTCACAAACAAACACATGGGAATATTGAATGAGGACCAGTGAGCGGAGTGAGGTGCCCTGGAGAAGCAGGCTTTGAAGGCGCAGCGAAGCTGTAACTGAGGACCCTGCTGCTCGGGAAGGAGGTGGTTTCCAGTGCGCCTCGGGATGTCATGGCTACCCAACCATTGCCGCTCCTGTTCCCGCGTGCCACCAGCATGCTCCACTCCAGATGAAATCCATTGGACAGGAGTTTGTTTCCTCAGTGTGGAGTGAGGCTGTCAGTGGATACGTGCTTTGTCGGTCAGCATTTCTGCAGTCTCTGTAAAGGCCCCATGAGACTTGGGCCAGGCCATGTGCCTCAGGCCCTTCTGCCTGAGTGCGCTCATGGGGGCTCCTTGGGCCCGCCTCCCCAGGAGATAGAAAAGGAGTGGCAGGCTAGAGATTTGAACTATCTTGTGGGCTGGAGTTACCAGTAGCTCCAGCAGTTATCCTGAAGAAAGATTGGGCTTCAGCCTTCAGCAAGTGGTTCTCTCCCCTGCTTGGCCTTGGTGTGAAGGGGCTGTACTCTGAGCCCAAGTGAGTCAGCTATAGGAAGAGGCCATACCTAGAGCAAAGAACCAGGGAGGCCTGAGAGACGGCAGACTGAGCAGAATTCCTTTTTTGAGCACAGGAGCATTACTAGAACCATTGTCAAAGCAGTGGCAAGAGACGGAGAGGTCCCAATGGGAGTCGGGAAGAGCTTTGATTATAACCAAGAAAACTGTCACTCTGCTAGGAATAGACAGCGTGCACCAGCCCCGGACACTTGGCAGAAGCGTAGCAGTGTTACACTGTGTGCGAAGCAGATTGCAGGCTCCATGCCATCTGCATGGTCTGCAGGAACTTCTGCTACTGACCCCGTGCTGAGTGGCCAGTGGGGAACAGCCCCCGGCAGGCTCTTCTGGGGTGGTCTGTCCTATCCGTGGGTTGTGTATCCTCTTCTCCGTTAAGGAGTTTTTCCCAAGAAGAAAAGTATTTAAAAGAAGTACCAGTGAGTGCCTTAAAGTTGGAGAAGTAACTGCCCGTGCCCAGAAACAGGGATGCCAGTGCCCGGAAGCAGTGAGATTAGGCTGTGTCCACAAGCAGAGGACCCCTCGATGGGAGGGGGCGGCAGGCAGGAGAAGGAAGGCAAGCGGTGGCCGGGTCCATTGGAAGCGTCCCATCTCAGACTTCCTAACACGGCCTATGTGGAAGGCAGAACAGAGAACACATGCTCAGTCAGAAATCCGTTTCCTGTTCTGCTCAAGAAGAATCAGCAACCATTTGTCAGCCAATGTTTCTGCAGTGTTTGTAAAGGCCCCGGGCCAGGCCGTGTGCCTCAGGCCCTTCTGCCTGAGTGTGCTCAGAGTCAGTGAGTCAGAGTCAGAGAAACTTAACCCAAGCAACATAATTCCTGTTTTCATGGGTCCTGTAGATGTTTGAGTCAGGAAGATAAGGCAGGGAGTGACTGAATAAACTCTGCCTTTTAAGTTGAGCATCTGGGCCAGTCACAGTGGCTAATGCCTGTAATCCCAGCACTCTGGGAGGTCGAGGTGGGTGGGTCACCTGAGGTCAGGAGTTCGAGACCAGCCCGACCAACATGGTGAAACCCCATCTCTACTAATAATAAAAGTTAGCCGGGCATAGTGGTGTGTGCCTGTAATCCCAGCTACTCAGGAGGCTGAGGCAGGAGAACCACTTGAACCCAGGAGGCAGAGGTTGCAGTGAGCCAAGATTGTACCACTGCACTCCACCCCTGGTGACAGAGTGAGACCGTCTCAAAAATTAATTCAGCATCTTGAGGGCTGCAAGTGCAGAAGGAATCTATTCTCAGTAGGGCATAGGGCATGCACTGGCTTAGCAGTTGGGTATATAAGGCTTGAATAGTCTATATGTGAACTGCTATAAGCAGGGTTCATAGGGAAGTGGATAGATTGCTTCAGCAAAGTGAACTGTGTGATCTCCAGGATGGAGGGAGAAAGATCTGATCCAAACGAGAACAGATTTGTTTATTACAGGTATGACAGCCTAAAGAAATTATCTTTTTGCAAAAGAAATATTAAATGATTTAGCAGTCTCCATGTGTGTTAATGTTTCAAATGTGTATCATAATGTGTATAATTGTGTAACAAAATTGTCTACAATAAATCTTTTGGTATTTGTGGTGGGTGTTTCTGAGTTTGAAGCGTGGTACTCAGGCAGGGTTCTCCTTGTACTGGGATGAGGTGACAGTGTAGATTCTTACTGGTATGTTTAAATTAATTCCTCTCTTTCTTGCCAAAAAAAAAAAAAAAAATGTTGCAACCATACAAGATAAAGGAATACAGTTACATAAAAGTCTAAAAAAAATTGGAAATGGACATAATTATTTCTGACGGCTTGGGGCAGAAGAAAACTGCATAAATGAGCTCAGAGCTTTCTTAAAGCCAAGGCAAAGAGAGAATCAGCTCCTGGTGTCTAACAAAGAAACATACCAGGTTACCTGGCAGGGTAAAGTTGGATGGTGTTGAGGTCTGAAAGAAGTTACTCCTATGACACGGTCCTTATGCTGTGACCATCTGCTAGCATATGGCTCAAAAATAATGAAAAATCCAGAAACATCAGAGCTGAACGATTTTGAAATCTTTGGTTCTTCAAAGGCATTATGATACAGTCCAAGTATGTAACTTTCTGGGGACCAGACTTCGCTGAGAGTCAGAATGGAGAGTCGAAGAGTCTGGCGGCTGAGAGTTAGTTAGGGGTGTGCCTAGGCTCACCTTCATAAATGTTTATTGTCTCAGCCAAGGTTTTGGCAGAGTGACACAGCAGGCTCGGATCAGTGCCACAGACAGTACCTTGAATGACTTGGACTCCAGGTTATTGATTGAAGGAGCCCTGTGTGAATCGGGCCAACAGAGCTGGGGTTGAGGCTTCATCTTGACCCTGTTCAAAGGGGAGGTTCTTCCATCTGTCGGGTGGGCTGCAGGGCCTGGCTTTTCTCAAAAGCTGCTTTTGGGAATGTGGCCTGAGTCCTGGAGTTGTGTACCATGGAGCACAGAGAGGCGAAACCTTGATGTAAATGCCTGCAAACCACCTTGACTTGTGGAAGGACCTTTAGGACTTTCCACCTGCAGAGCGTCACAGCGCAGCCCGTGGCTGCTTGAGGCAGCTCCTGCAGTGGCAGCTTGGGTCGTGAAATAAACTTAACATTTTCTTTTGTCTAGAATTTGCTAACAGGTTAAACTGCTTTTTACTTATTTATTTTGAGACAGTCTGGGCCGGGTACGGTGGCTTATGCCTGTAATCCCAGCACTTTGGGAGGCCGAGGTGGGCAGATCACAAGGTCAGGAGATCGAGACCATCCTGGCCAACATGGTGAAACCCCGTCTATACTAAAAATATAAAAATTAGCCGGGCATGGTGGCGGGCGCCTGTAATCCCAGCTACTCGGGAGACTGAGGCAGGAGAATCGCTTGAACCTGGGAGGCGGAGGTTGCAGTGAGCCAAGATCGTGCCATTGCACTGCATCCAGCCTGGGCGACAGGAACAAGACTCCATCTCAAAAAAAAAAACAAAACACGGAAGCTGCTCTCCCACCCAGGCTGGGTGCAGTGGCGTGATCTCGGCTCATTGCAACCTCTGCACCCTGGGTTCAAACGAGCACGTCTGGCTAATTTTTGTATTTTTAGTAGAGATAGGGTTTTACCATGTTGGCCAGGCTGGTCTCAAACTCCTGACCTCAAGTGATCTGCCCGCCTCAGCTTCCCAAAGTGCTGGGATTACAGGCATGAGCCACCATGCCCGGCTTGCTTTTTATTTTTAAAAACTTTTTCTTTACAGAATTATTACAAAAACATTTATAGAAACTTTAGCAAGCATTAAAAATGTGTTTTAAAAGCTCCTCATAATTCCCCCTCTGAAAGATAATCACTGCTGACATCTCTCAGTGCCTGTCCGTCTGTCTGCTATGCGTATTATACATGTGTGTGTGAGATAGGTAGGAGTTGGGGCCACGTGGTTGAGACTTGTCTCAGTTGCTCTTGGATCACTTGCTGAACATGTTAGGCCTGATGAGACCTAAGTGAGTGGGAAGGAGTTTCATCAGAACCCACATCTGCTCATAAATAAAGAGGCCAGGCTGGGTGCCGTGGTTCACACCTGCAATCCCAGTGCTTTGTGGAGGCTGAGGCAGGAGGATTGCTTGAGCCCAGGAGTTCACGGCCAGCCTGGGCAACCATAGGGAGACCCTGTTTCTACAAAATTTACAAAAATAATAAAAAATGGCCGGGTATGGTAGCTCAATGCCTGTAATCCCAGCACTTTGGGAGGCCGAGGTGGGCAGCACATCTGAGGTCAGGAGTTCAAGACCAGCCCGGCCAACATGGTGAAGCCCTGTCTCTACAAAAATTAGCTGGGCGTGGTGGTGGGCGCCTGTAATCCCAGCTACTCGGGAAGCTGAGGTGGGAGAATATCGCTTGAATGTGGGGGGCAGAGGTTGCAGTGAGCCGAGATTGTGCCGCTGCACTCCAGCCTGGGCAACGGGGGAAAAAAAAAAGCCAGGCATGGTGGTGGCATGCCCCTGTGGTCCCAGCTACTCGGGCAGCAGAGGTGGGAGGATCGCTTGAGCCCAGGAGGTTGAGGCTGCAGTGAGCAGTGATCACACCACTGCAGCCTGGGCGACAAAGCGAGACCGTCTTGGTGATGAGGATGGTGCGCCCTCAGAGGAGCACTGGAGTTGGTGTTTGTGAAAGGCTGTATGCTGTGCACTGCAGGGGCTCTTGCCCATTTGTTTGCCTTGCAGTCAGGCCTGTCTGGTGTGGTGAGGCCTCCGCTGCGGCTACCCCAGCAGCACTGCCAGGAAGGGGCAGGCCTGGTTGGTCCTGGCTGAGGCGCAGCAGAGCTGGCCAGCCCATTATAGGAAAAGAACAAACGAGCATCCCAGGTGCTGTGCAGGGTGACATTGGCCAGGGGGTGGTGAGGGGCTGTGAGCACAGGGCATCAAGCTAGAGGACGCTGGGAGCAGCAGGTGGGAATAGAGCTGGCTCCAGGGAAAGTGAGGAGGGGGGACTAAGGCAGGAAAGAATAATCCTAACACCTGTGTCTCAGTTATTTCCTGTACTGAGCACCCCACCCATAAACACGGATATTCTCAGCAAGTTACAAAATGTAGCTGGTAGCGTCCTCGCTTTTCGGGTAAAGAAACAGAACCCCAGTTGCTCACAGGTAGCGAGTGGAGAAGCCAGGATTAGAGCCTGAGGAGCTTCAGAGAGCCCCTTTACCCGAGGCGCCTGGGTGAGGGTGGGTGACAGGGTGGGTTCTATGGGCTGCACCTAACACGTGCCCTGCAGCCCACACAGCAAGAAGTGCTCAGGATCAACAGGCCTCTGAGGTATGGAGGCAGCTGGGCCCCACTGAAGTCCTTAGCACCAAGAGACCGGAGAAAGAAAGCATGAGAAAACTCGTGTTTACAATTTAAGAAATTGAAACTGTACATTTTTGCATTTTAGTAAAACTGAGATTGTACAGTTTAATCTCATTTCCACAGACACCCAGCAGGCAGCCTCTTTTCTCTTAGAAAAATCAAACATGCAAGCCGTGAAGTCTGAAATAGCAGAACCCCTTGGATAAGCACACGGTTTGGACTTCTTTAAAGTGAGCCTCTCACCAAGAGCATTTCCTTTGCTGGCATGAGGGGAGGGCTATGCCTGCCAGGGCTAGCACCTGGAAGGGACGCTGACAGGCAGCCTGAGCTGGAACCACTGTCCCACCTGCACATCTGGTGGCTCTGAGACCCGAGTGGAGTGCCACCATCTGCAGCTTAAATGCTCGTCAGACTAGAGCCACTTGTGGGCCGGAGAGGAAGAAAGATCCAAGGGAAATCCACAAATTTCCTTACTGAAGACTGTCCTGAGCTTGTGCCTCTAAGCTTTAAAAAGGGATGTAGACCCTTCAAATGTGTGAAGGGCTGCTGTGCAAAGGGACCAGGCGTGACCCATGTGGCCATGCTGGCTGGTATTGACGGAGAAAGTTAGGAGAGAGCTTTGCAAAGAAAATGAACTGCCTCTTCAAAAGGTGGTGAGTTCCCTGTCACTGTACATGTGAGCAGGGTAGACAGAAGGGGGAGGGTTGGTGTCGATGACATTTTAAGGTATTTCAGGGAATGAGACAATGCCACCTTCCCAAAAACAGTCCCCGTTCTTAGCCAGTGTGTACGGTAGTGTCCTTCTCATCATCCTTATGTTAGGGGGGGAAATAATTAGTAATAAAATGTAGATTCAGTCTTTAGACACCTACCACAAGGTAAATGTGATTCATTCAATCCCAAGAAATGTTTTGTTAAAACATGAGGCTCATCTTGGCCATAAGGAGGTCTGTGAAGTGGAAGTCCGTGACTGACGGTCTGTTTCTTCCAGAAATTTCCTCCTGGATACTCAGCATCACCATGAGTCATGCAGGTGATGGCCCAAGATTCCTACAGCTTCAACTGCAGGGGCCATTTGTAGGAAGAGCCAAGGGTCTCACCATAGGTTATAAAATTAATCAAGTGCTCATGCATCCTGGGAAATCCACCAAAAGTGGACATAACTGGTTCTTTCAAGGGCCGGATGTGTCCACATTCCTTAGCTTCCATGGACCAATTCGGTTCCCAACTGACTTGCTCCTCAGGCTCCTCTGATTTCAAAACCCAGAGATGGCCAGATGGCAGTTACGAACGCGGGAGCCTTCCACAGGCTTCTCAAGAGGACGCTTGAGGCTGAGCTGAGCTGGGTGTGCCAAGTCCATCGGTGCATCTGCCCCGCACCAGCACCTCAGCCCTGGTGACAGCTTTGAGAGGGGCTGTGCCCTCCTGGAGGGGCCCATGCCATGCTCTCGCCCAGCCCCACGGTAGTGGGTCCTGAGGCCGCTCCCCAGCCCTCTCCTGTCAGCAGCCACGGTGTCACGGTGCAGGCAGTCACACGTTGAGAATCCGGGGAGCTGAGGCCTGAAAGATGGCGGAGGGGTTAGGAGTGAACTTCTTCCTCACCTCTGGGACCTGAAAAATGGAGTGTGGCCACATATCAGCGGGACTTTTCCTTACCTCCCTACCCCCCAGCTCCAGGAAAAAATCCCCTCCCATCCTCTAGGAGTCGAGACCCGAAAGGTCAGAGGGGACTTGCTCACCGTGAGCCGTAGGCGTCATGGCATTAGTGGCTCAGTGGCACATGGACCTTCCATTCTGCTCCCTGAACCACCTGGGAATCGGGGAGCCGAGGTGCCCCACTCCTTCCCATCGCCTCTTTCCTCTTACATAAATGCTCCGATACTCGGGCCAAGGGTAAGACGGGGATTTAGGATGCAGAGACCCTGCTCACCAGAGAGGCCAACACTAGAGGGCCACCCAGCTGGCTAATGATGAAGGAGTACCTTGGGTTTTTGTTCACGACATCTGGTTGGCATTGCTGTCCCTGGTCATAATTCCATTTTACACCATGAAAATCTGGCTTCTAATCCCTACCCAGGTAAAGAGGCTTCTATACCCACACCTCTGCTGCACCAGCTTCAGGCTGACCTGGAAGCCGGCCCCAGGGCTGCTGTCCCATCCCGAAGTGTGGGTTGTGATGACTTGGGCTGGTTTTGCCTTTGTGGATCTTGAGGGCTTCACTCCAGTCCAAGCCTGGAATTCCTGTCTGGAACAGAGAACACGGTCACAATCTTGCACAGGGGCAGCCATCCCTTTACCCGACTCCCCAGGGGCTGCTGCTCTGCCCCATGCACAGCCCTGCCCACTGCTGAGACCCTCAGCTCCAGGCGGTCCTTATCCTCTTCCCAAAAACAGAACTGGCAAGGCAAGCGCACTCCCGCGCAGGCCCAGCTCCGGGAAAAAGCAGGTGTGTGGCCGCCCGGCCCCTCACCTCAGTGATGCACTGGGAAATCTGGGCTCACCCCAGCCCCTAAGGAAGTAGGAAAGGAAGTTTATTCTCACACTGCAGGCGAGCGCAGGCTCAGGGCAGAGCTCATTCAGCACCTGCGTCTCATCCAGCACGCGCCAGCACCTGGTACTGCTGGGTCTTGGAGATGCCCAGCCCCGGTGCTCTCCCTGCACCCCTGCAATTCTCCCACGCCTGCTCCTCCAGAGCCAGGCTGCTCCAAGAGACCCAGGTCATGGTGGCCACTTATACCTGTAGAGGAAATGCCCCCAGCACCAGGCACAGCCCTGGCTCACCAGACCCGCTTAAGACTGAAGAGAAAAATAAGGCTCAGAACTTAGTTTTTTATACTTTGTCTCATTAACTCATGCAGAAGAATGGATCGCAGTGACTATCTCAAAAGACTCCAAGGTGGCCTGGCCTTTGCACAGCT